GCCAGCCTGCCCCCGTGGTAGCTCGCTTTGGGTATAGGAGGCACCCGGCTGCCTGCAGCACCCAGCTCTGGAAGCAGGGCAGGGGTGGAGCAGCTCTGAGGGGACCCAGATCCAAAAATGGGAAAAAGCAGAGTGTACATGTTCCGTGCCATGTCCCTGGAGTCCCCCAAGCCCAGTCTGGAGGGATTTAAGGGAGCCGAAGTTCCCTTCAATCCATGGTGCTGACTCCTTACTGTTGATGTGGCCTATTTTGATCCACAGGCTGGGATGTAGGGATAACACATGGAGTTCAGAGTTTAGAAGAACTAGAGGAGGCACCCTCAATTGACACTTAACTCTGCTCCGAAACTGCTGTTTCTGCACGTTTGTTTTCTATTTATTACATGAATTTCAAACATACACGAAAACAGAGATGCCATGTACCCAGCACCCAGTTTCAAAAATCAATCACATGACCAGTCTTGTTTCACCTGTGCCGACTCCTCCCAATATGATTCTGAGGCAAATTCCAGACTTTACATCATTTCATCCATAAATATTTTAGCATGCACTTAAAAGACATATAGAAATAAAACCACAATATCACTGTCACGCAGAAAGTTTAATAAGCCTTTCCCATCATCACATACCTGATCAGTGTTCAAATTTCCAATCTCATAAATATCACAATGCCTTTTTACAATTTGTTTCAGGATCCAGATAAGATCCACGCACTCTGGAAGTCTTAGATTTCCGGGAATTCTGGGTTGAAACTAAATCCAGAACAAAAGCGGACTCCTTGCAACTCTTAAGTTTCATGAATTGCAGTGGTGGGGAGGGTATTTTTATTTTTTTTTTCCTTACAAAAGCATCTTTGCAAGGCTGCGTCGGTAAATCCCACGGGTCTCAGATTTCCAGTCTCACAACTGGAAGCTTCTGGCAATTCAGCTGCAGAGCAGTGTTGGTAGGTGAGTCACGCCTCGCCAGGGTGCACCCACGTGGCAGTGTTACCCTGAAAAACACCTCTTGTCCTCAAAAGCTCCTCGGGGCCTAATTAAGTTAGAGGGTGCAGGTGCCGAAGCAGCCACCCGGGGGCTCCCGAGGACCTCGATGGACTACGCATCCCCTGGAAAGCCAACCTGGCTGTTTTATTTCAGGGGAGACTGGACAGACCAGGTGAGACCTGGCGCCTATCTCACCCAGGTGGACGTCTGCCAGCAGAGACACTAGACTCGGGGAGATGAGGCTTGTTGCCCGTGGCTGGCAAAAGCCAAGATTAGCTGTCAGTCGCCATCAGAGGATTTGAAGCATTCAGCCCTCCCCCGCCCCGCCCCAGTGGTCTTTTTTTTTTTTCTTTTTTCCAGATCCCCTGGATGGCAAAGAGGATCCACAGGGGTGGCCCATTCCTGCTAATAAGCACCTGTGGCCCGTGATTTTGGGGGGGGGGGACGATATTATAAGCGATGGCAGACATCTGTTAAGTGTCAAGGGTTCATTGAAGTTATATATCCAGAACAAAACACAAGACTGAGAGCTTCGATCTCCAGATTCTCCACTTGGCCTTGCAAGGATCCCCTCATCTTTGGGCCTCATTGCTGGAAATAAAGGGGCTGGGAAAGAAACCACTGGCTGGAGGTCTCTTCCCTGTTAGGTGCTTTTGTGGAGGGCACTTCCGAGGGCTACGGTCACAGAGTTCCACGAACTGGGTGGCTTGAACAACACAAATGGAGTGCCTCCCCGTTCTGGAGGCCGGAAGTCCAAAATCGAGGTGGCCGGCAGGGCCATGCTCTCTCGGACGGCTGTAGGGGCCAGTCCTTCTGCTTCCTCCACCTTGCGGTGTTTGCCAGCAATCCTTGGTGTCCCTTGGCTTACTGTATTAATAGATGTCCTTCTTCTCACTGTGTATCTCTTCACACCGTCTTCTCTGTGTGCGTTGTCTGTCTCCGTGTCCAAATTCCCCCTTTTTGAAAGGACACCGGTCTTAATGGATTAGGGTCTCCACCCCTAATGACCTTGTTTTAACTTAATTACCTCTGTGAAGACCCTATTTCCAAATAAGGCCGCTTCTGAGGCACTGGGGGTTAGAACTCCAACATACCTTTGGCGGGGAAGGATACAGTTTAATTTAACACAGGGGCCATGTTAGAGAAAGCTAATATTTGAAAGATGTAAGGACAAACCCATGAATTGTGCATGCTAGTGGGTCACACCACCGTGAGGTTCTAGGATAAAGTTACACATCTACAAAGACAGCATAACAACACATAAACAACTATGTTTTGAGAAGCCGCATATTGGAATTTTACCGAGAAAAACAAGCCTCATCCCCCAAGTGAGCTTCATAACCCGAATTACATTAAATTCACTACATTTGACCATTTCCTATGATCACTGACATAGCAAATCAAATACCGGTCAAGACAAGAAAACTCCAGGTTTTTTTGGCTAAAATTATACAACATAAGTTGATTCTCGTGCTACTTAAAATTATCATAGAACTATAAGCACTCAAAACCCTGACATATTAAATAACAGAGAGCTTATACATATTAAACTTTCAGAAAATCAGATTCATGCCCCTTCTCAAAAACACAAGCATTCATTACATAAACAAGGTCACAGCCAAAAACAGGGCCATCGGTTCTTTCGGGACTTAATCAGAACGATCACGGCCCAGCAGGCACCGCTTCAGTTCCTGACATGGCTTCTCAACGAACAGCGTCAGGGCCAGCCCAGCGATGAAAGTCAGTAAACAGTGTCCAGAGAAAAGATAGAACTAGAGACAAAGCAGAGCAGGGAGACACCGTTTTACTCCAGGAATTCCTACTGTGTTCAGATTGTTCAGACTGTAAAGTGCCATCCTGGCTGTAAGAAATGGATCAGAGTCGGGCTCGGTGGCTCAGCCTGTAATCCCACGCCTTTGGGAGCCTGAGATGAGTGGATTGCCTGAGCCCGAGGGTTCGAGACACGCCTAGGCAACTTGGTGGGACCTCTTCTCTACAATAAATCAGAAAATTAGCTGGGCGTGGTAGCGTGCGCCCGTAGTTCCAGCTACTCGGAAGGCTGAGGCAGAAGGATCGCCGGAGCCCAGCAGGTCAAGGCTGTGGTGGCCAGGAGCGGCCACTGCCCTCCAGCCTGGGTGACAGAGTAAGACTCCAACTCAAAAAAAAAAAAAAAGAAAGAAAGAAATGGATCAGCAGGGCAATCAGTGCTAACGTTAAAAATGAAATAAATACAATCAAGATGTTAACCTGTGCTGGAGCCCTCCCTCTCACTCCCTCAAATAAGGAACAATAAGGGGCCGGGCTCGGTGATTCAGCCTGTAATCCCAGCATTTGGGGAGGCCAAGGTGAGTGGATTGCCTGAGCCCGCAGATTCGAGACCACCCTGGGCAACTTGGCAAGATCACATCTCTGTAATAAATCAAAAATTAGCTGGGCGTGGTAGTGCGTGCCTGTGTTCCAGCGACTTGGAAGGCTGAGACGGAAGGATGGCCAGAGCCCAGCAAGTTGATGCTGGGGTGGCCGTGAGTGTGCCACTGCGCTCCAGCCTGGGCCGTGGAGTGAGACCAAAAAAATAAATAAATAAAAGAACAATAAGGGTCTTTAAAAATAATAATAATAGAAAGTCTTCCTAAAAAGCAAACAGGGCTTGAGTCCAGAGGTTTGAGAACAGCCTGGGCAATTTAGGGAGACCTCGTTTCTATGGCAAGTAAATCAATAAATAAAATAAAAAATTAGCCTGGCTTGGTGGCACTCACTTATAGTCCCAGTTACTTAGAAGGCTGAGGCAGAAGGATCGCCTGAGCCCAGCACGTTGAGGTTGCGGGGGCCGTGATCATGTCATTGTACTCCAGCTTGGGTGACAGAGTGAGACTCTGACTCAAAAAAAAAAATAGATTGCTTTGCTACTCAAGAAGAGGGTAGATGGGATGCTCTCAGAATTGGGAGCTGTGTGCTAACTCACCATGTTGATATCGGTGTAGTGAATAAGTGTTTCCTGAAGCCCATTGTAGAGGATAATCAGAGTCGGATGCACCAGGTAGCAAGCATAACTGATGTTGGCCAGGAAACTCCAGACGTCCCAAGAAAAGCAGCCGGTTCACCAGACCTGGAGAGAACAGACACAAGGTCACCAGGCCTTCTCTGGGTCAGTGAAGACACCCCATTGTCCATTGCTTCCTTCGGATTCTGCACCTAAGTCTGCGAACTTTTCTTAAGAAAGTATTTATGCCTTGTAATTTTTAAGAGAATGTTACCCTCCCCGCAAAAAAAAAAACCCTTCCTTTTGCAAGAATATGATAACATAAGAGAGACACTAATAATGTTGAGGTTGAGTCAAACTTACCTCCTTCGCACGGTTGCAACCCCTGAGCACAAAATATTCCATGTACAAAACAAGGTATAAAGTCCTTGCACTAGCCTAAGTCTGGTTCAAGAGGCGACCAGGTAAGCCACTGGGTCTCGGGATGAGGCATTTCACATGAGCTGTCTTAGACTCTTCATCTCTCCGTGAGAGGCACTAGAAGATTCGGAACTTTCAGAGCAAATATTCTGTAACTTGGCGAATTTTCTAGAACTGTGCTGTCCCGGACAATAGCCCCTGGTCATTGTGGATATTTTAATTAATTAAATTTAAATACAATGAAACCGTCCTTATAGAGGACTCATGACCAGGTCACCAGGTCTTCTCTGGGCCAGTGAAGATTCCCTATTTTTCATTGCTTCTTTTGGACTCTGCACCTAAGTCTGTGAACTTTTCTTAAGGAAGTCTTTATGCATTGTAATTTTTAAGAGAATGTTATCCTCCTCCCCCCCAAAGGACATTTTCATTGTATTTAAATTAGCACTTATTGCTGTCTCAGTGGTTTGAATAGTCGTCCTCCAAAAGATACGTCCACCCAGAATGTCAGAACGTGGTTGTACTTGGAATGTGGGTCTTTGCAGATATAATTAGGGGAAGGAACTAGAGATCAGATCATCTTGGATTAGGATGGGTCTTAAACCCAATGACTAGTGTTTTCACAAGAGACAGACACACAGGAGAGAGACAAGCATGGAGGCCATGTGATGACAGAAGCGACTGGAGTGATGAACCCACAAGCCGAGGAACGCCAAGGCTCGTCAGCAGCCATCAGAAGCTTGGAGACAGGATGGGACTGACTCTCTCCCCAGAACACCCAGAAGAACCAACCCTGCTGACACCTTGATTTTAGGCATCTGGCCTCCGGAACTGTGAGATTATAAATTTCTGTTGTTTTACGCTGCAGAAAAAAAGATAATTTCCATTTCTCCTTTGCACAAGCAGGTGCTCTGTCATGCATCACAATTTGCTCAGTTGCTTAGGGCAAAATCTTTGGAGCCATCCCAGACTCCTTTCTTTCTCTTGTACCCCATAGAGTGCTGTCGTGTTTTTTTTTGTTTTTTGTTTTTTTTGGTAGAGACAGAATCTCACTATGTTGCCTTGGCTAGTCTTGAACTCTTGACCTCAAGCAATCCCCCTGCCTCAGCCTCCTAAAGTGCTAGGATTACAGGCTGAGCTACATTTTTAAGACGGATCCTCAATTTGGCTGGGCACAGTGGCTCACACCTGTAATGCCAGTGTTTTGGGGCCAAGGCAGGAAGATTACTTGAGGCCAGGAGTTCAAGACCAGCCTGGGCAACAGAGTGAGACCCCCCCATCTCTACAAAAAAATAAGTCTAAGTATCTCAGATAAGACCGTAGCTTACCACTCCGCTAACGCCCTCATGCATTTTCCCTTGCCTCTCCCAGGGACTCCACCTTCGCTTCCCAGGGGATCTGTTGGTCTCTGTTCTTGTTCTCGCCATCCCACAGCCTCCACACGACAAAGAGTAATCTTTTAAAATCACAAGTCAAGGAGAGATGGGGAGAGGGGTGATGCTGATCAAAAGATATAAAGTTTCGGCCGGGCTCGGTGGCTCAGCCTGTAATCCTGCGCTTTGGGAGGCCGAGGTGAGTGAATTGCCTGAGCCCGCAGGATCAAGTCCTGCCTGGGCAACTTGGCAAGACCTCATCTCTACAATAAATCAAAAAAATTAGCCGGGTGTGGTAGCGCGCGCCTGTAGTTCCAGCTACTTGGAAGGCTGAGGCGGAAGGATCCCCGGAGCCCAGCAGGTCGAGGCTGCGGTGGCCAGGAGCGGCCACTGCACTCCAGTCTGGGCGACGGAGTGAGACTCCAACTCAAAAAAAAAAAAAAAAAGATATAAAGTTTCAGTTCGACTGATGGAATAAGTTTTAATGACCTATGGCATTGCTTGGTGATGATAATTAATAATTTCTTAAATATATTTCAGTCTCACTGACCAAAATCAAGGTTCCCTCTAAGACCCAAAAAGCAGGCTTGATCTTAGGCTTCCAGACTCCAGAACCGTGAGAAATAAATTTCTGTGGCTTAAAAGGCACCCAGTTTATGGTATTTTTGTGATAGCAGTCCACGTGGACAATGACATCGTGTCACAAGGCATTTAGGGGAAAATCCAAACTCTTCCCCTCGAAGGGCTTGCCTAACCTGGCTCCCGGCTTCTTCTCTGACCTCCCTTCCCATTCCCTTCCCGCTGGATGTTGGTTTCCTTTCCCACTGGTCTTCCTGCTATTCCTGCAACCTGTTCAGTTCTCTCTAGTCTGGAGGCCTCCGCCAGGAATGCTTTGGCCCGGCGTCTTTGCAAGCGAACCCCTCTCCCCGTTATCCACCTAGCCCTGATTTATTTTTATTCACTAAACTTATCTGAATCTAATTTATGTGACAAATGTCTTGACTTCATGCTCTTTCGGATTCGTTGTCTGTGACTGCTCTCACAAACTGTCACAGACGTGGTGTCTTGAAAAAGCAGAGATGTATTCTCTCATGTTTCTGGAGGATGGAAGTCCAAAGTCAGTATCACTGACCCAAATCAAGGTGCCAGCTCCCAGCAGCTTCTGGCCTTCCTTGGCTTGTGGCCACATCACTCCAGTCTTCAGGGCCAGCATTTTCAGTCTCTCTCTGCTCTGTCTTCATATCACCCTCTTCCCCTTCGTGTGGAATCAAATCTCCTTCCGCCTCCCTCTTACAAAGACATGTGTGATTGTATTTAGGGGTCCAACCAGATAACCCAAGGTAATCCCTCCATCTCAAGATCCTTAATTTAGTCACATCTGCAAGATCCCAGGAATTGGGACCTGATACCTCTGGGGACCATTATTCAACTTACTAGAGTTTCCTGGTCTCCCCGCTTCCCTCACTCTAACGGAATCTCCTGCAAGGGAAGGGTTTTCCTCGCCTCTTCCTGTACCCCCAAACTCTAGAACAGTGCCTAACAGAACAAGCGTCCAAATAGGATTTTATGTAATTAGGTGAATAAACAGAGACAGACTAGTAGACAAAAGAGGGGTTTTCCCCAAGTAAAGGCTAAATAAGGTGAACCAAGATGTCACTGTGGAACAAGACAAAATAGTTGTAAGGAAATTCAGTTAGCAAAGAGCCCATGCTCATACAGGTAGGCCAAACACAAAAGAATGTGCCCCACGGAAAATGATCCCGTGCTCACGTGGTGAGCCCCAGTTGACTCCAGCAACTACTCGTTACATTAAGTTAATGTTGCTATGCAGATTTTCTTGGTTGTATAGTTTTTTTGTTTTGTTCTGTTTTGAGTTGTAGTCTCACTCCATCACCTAGGCTGGAGTCCAGCGGCATGCTCAAGGCCACCCCAGCTTCGACCTGCTGGGCTCTGGTGATTTTTCCGCCTCATCCAAGTAGCTGGAACTACAGGCGTGTGCTATGATGCCCGGCTAATTTTGTGATTTATTTTGGAGGTGAGGTCTCGCCAAGTTGCCCGGGCTGTTCTCGAACCACTGGGTTCAGGCAATCCTCTCGCCTCGGCCTCCCAAAGTGCTGGGATTACAGGTTTGAGCCACCGCGCCCAGCCGGTTGTATAGTTTTATGGTTACTTTATAAATTTGTTTGGGCTTTATCCATGTGTGTGCTCTCAACACACAAATTTGAATCCAGGTTTATGTCTGCTCATGTTTGGGTCAAATTAGAATAAAGCTAGGAACTTATATCCAGGGTAACTTGAATCTATCTCCTGGAAAAAGATTTACTGAAAAAGAAAGTAACGATCAGAATAACAAGAATTTAGCCCAACGCCAAGAATCCAGAAGAATCCTTACGCAGTCTGACCATTAAGTTCGCGAACTCATCCTAGAAAGAGTGCTGCACGCCTCATTGGTGAATATCATGACAATCACCTTCAAATTACGACCTCTGGGAAGCGACGCTCCACGCCCATGCCTAGTCCACCCATCAAGGCAGTTCTGAAGCTCTTTCTGGAATGGCCATCAGAGCCGCTGTCATATTACCCTTGATGTCCTGAATGTCATCAAAATGTCTTCCTTTCAATATTTCCTTTATCTTCGAATAAAGGAAAAAGTCATCAGGGGCCAGACCAGATGAGTAGGGAGGGTGTTCCGATACAGTGATTTGTTGATTGGCTAAAAACTCCCTCAGCCAGAGCTGTGTGAGCCGGTGCAGTGTCGTGATGCAAGAGCTCCTTTGGGCCATTTTTGCACACACCTTTCTCAGGCAAGATTTTCAGTTAAGACTTTCCTAACTGTTTCTCTTTGGATGCTTTTTTTTTTGAGTCGGAGTCTCACTCTGTCGCCCAGACTGGAGGGCAGTGGCCGCTC